AAACCGATTTGGCTCAGTGGATAGAGCGTTGGCCTGCGGACTGAAAGGTCCCAGGTTCGATTCCGGTCAAGGGCATGTACCTGGGTTGCGGGCACATCCCCAGTGGGAGATGTGCAGGAGGCGGCTGATCGATGTTTCTCTCCCATAGATGTTTCTAACTCTCTATCTCTTTCTCCCTTCCTCTCTGTAAAAAATCAATAAAATATATTTTAAAAAAAATAAAATTATATAGGGGTCAAGTGTACATCATCTGTACATTGCATGTGTTTACCACCCAATCTCAATTCTCCTTCCATCACCATATCTTTGACACTCTTTGCCACTTCCCCACCCCCTTCCCTGTGGTAATCACCATACTGTTGTTTGTGTCTGTGCGTGTTTATGGGTTTTTTTGTTCATTTATTGTTTTCAGTTTTATATCCCACATATGAGTGAAATCATAAGTTCTTAACTTTTTCTGTCTCACTTAATATACTTAGCAAGATATTCTCAACATCCATCTTTGTCAAAAATGGCAGTATTTCATCTTTTCTGATGGCTGAGTAGTATTCCATTGTATATACATACTGTATCTTTTTCCAATCAACCATCGAAGAACAATTCCATTGCTTCCATGTCTTGGCCATTATGAATAATGCTGCAGTGAACATAGGGGGTGCATATATCTTTGCAAATAAAAATTTTCAAATTTTGGGGGTTGATGCTCAGGCTGAGTAGCTCATTTGGTTAGAGCATCGTCCTGGATATGCCAAATTTCAGGTTCGATCCCTGGTCAGGGCTCATACAGAAAGAAACCAATGAGTGAACAACAAATCAATGTTTCTCTCTCTCTGTCTCTCTCTCTCTCTCTCTCTCTCTCTCTCTCTCTCTCTCATCTATAAATAGAAAAAATTTTAATTTGGGAGGTTGATAACCAGGGAAGGGGTTACTAGGGTATATGATAATTCTATTCTTACTTTTTGGAGGAACCTCTATACTGTTTTCCATAGTGGTTGTACCAGTTTATATTCCCACCAGTAGTGAATGAGGGTTCCTTTTTCTCCACAACCTCTTCAACACTTGGTATTACTTGTCTTGTCGATAATAGCCATTCTAATTGGTATGAGGTGGTACCTCATTGTAATTTTGCTTTGCATTTCCCTAATAGCTAGGGAAGTTGAGCATCTTTTCATATATCTCATGGCTATTTGTATGTCTTCTTGGAAAAAGTGTCTGTTCAGATCCTCTACCCATTTTTCAATTGGGCGGGCTATTGAGTTTCTTTTGCTGTGCAGAAGTCTTTTAGTTTGATAAAGTGCCATTCATTTATTTTTGCTTTTCCTTCCTTTGCCTTTGAGGTTAAATTCATAAAGTCCTCCTTAAGACCAAGATCCATAAATTTACTTCCTATGTTTTCTTCTATGCAATTAATTGTTTTAAGTCTTATATTTAGATCTTTGATCCATTTTGAGTTACTTTTTGTGTATGGTGATAAACAGCAGTCTAGTTTTATTCTTTTACATGTGGTTTTCCAATTTACCCAGCATCATTTATTGAAGAGGCTTTCTTTTCTCTTTTGTATGTTTTTGGCTCCTTTGTCAAAATATTATTTTGCCCATAAATGTGTGTTTATTTCTGGGCTCTCAATTCTGTTCCATTAATCTGTGTGTGTTTCATGGCAGTGCCATGCTGTTTTGATTGTGGTTGCTCTGTAGTATAATTTGAAATCAGAGAATTCACTACTTCCAGCTTCTTTTTTCTCAGGATTCATTTGCTATTTGGGGTCTTTTGTGGTTCTATACAAATCTGATGATTTCTTCTATTTCTTTAAAAAATGCCATTGGGGTTTTTATGGGGATTGCATTAAATCTGTATATTGCTTTGGTAATATGGCCATTTTAACTATGTTGATTCTTCTAATCCATAAACATGGAATATCTTTCTATATCTTTATGTCTTACAGTTTTCAGTGTATAGGTTCATCTCATCCTTTGTTAAATTTATTCCTAAGTATTTTATTCTTTTGCAAAAGGAATTGTGTTTCTTTGTTGTTTTTGTTTTCATTTTTTTCTGAAATTTCATTGTTAGAATATAGGAATGCAGTTAATTTTTGTACATTGATTTTGTAATTTGCAACTTTAGTCTATTTATTTACTGTTTCTAATAGGTTTTTGGTGGAGTTTTTAGGGGTTTCTATATAAAGAACTATGTTGTCTGCAAAAAGTGACAATTTTATTTCTTCATTGCCAATTTAAATGCCTTTTATTTATTTCTTTTGCCTGATTGCTCTGGCTAGGACTTCCAATACTATGTTGAATAACAGTGGCGAGAGTGGGTATCCTGGTCTTGTTTCTGATCTGAAAGGAAAAGCTTTCAGTTTTTCACCATTGAGTATGATATTACCTGAGGGTTTGTCATATGTGCCCTTTATTATGTTGAGGTACTTTTCTTCTATACCCATCCTATTGAGTGTTTTATTCATAAATGAATACTAGCAAGTTGAATACAACAATACATTAAAGAGATAATATATCAGGATCAAGTGGTGTTCATTCTAGGGGCACAGGAATGGTTCCGCATATGCAAATTGATCGTGATATACCACGATCAATGTGATATACCACATTAACAAAACAAAGGATAAAAATCCTATCAGTAGATACAGAAAAAGTATTTGACAATATAAAACACCCATTTATAATTAAAACTCTTGCTGCTTTTACAGATTCATAAAACTCATTCATCTAACAATTCATGGGAAAATGGTATCTTTTAATAAGGTACTAATGAGTTGATAGCTAAGATTTATGATATTTCCTAAGTAATTTATTCCTGCCAGTAATTTAAATGTGAATCACTTTTAACATTAAGACCAACCTCTGTTTAATATAAGGCCCTGACCAGTATTTTTAAAACCACCGTTATAGGCTAGTCAGACACTATTGGGTGTAGAATCTTCTTAGCTTTTTATGTGCTGGAAATTTAGCCTCTTAAACATTTTTAGTAAGGTCCTGAAGAGAACAACATGTTTCACATTTGCATATATCCTCTAGGAAATGCCCTGTAGAATCCAGATTAAAAATGAATGTGTAAATCTTTATGCTGTGGCTGTGGTTCCAGCGAAATCTAACCACTACCAAAAGTCTTCTTCCATGCCTAACTCATACCTTTACCAAGTGACACATTAAACTTGTCAGATTCAATCTTCAATACCTAATTTAGATTTATGAATCTATAGAAGTAATGTAGAAGAAATTATAAAGCCGTGCTATTTTAATCAAACTTTAAATTAATTAAAAGTAAATAAAATTTAAGATTCAGTTCTTCAGTTGCAACAGCCACATTTAAAGTACTTAATAGCCACCTGTAACTAGTGGCTGCCATATTGGACAACACAGATGTAGAACATTTATTGGACAATGCAGATATAGAACAGTGCAGAAAGTTTAATTCAATAACATTGTTTAGAAAGTACTGGCACTTTAATTGATAGTGACATATATTTATATACAAAAATGCCCATGTGATGACTTCTCAAGAGGAAAAGCAACCAGATTGTTTATAAATAGGATCTATAATTTCATTTATTGTCCAAAAAAAGTGCCCTTTAAATTTATAAATTCCACTTTCTTTCCTCAAACTCTTACCCTAGCCCAGCCAGCATGGCTCAGTAGTTGAGCATTGATCTATGAACCAGGAGGTCATGGTTCAATTCCCAGTCAGGGCATGGGCTTAATCCCCAGAGGGGGCATGCAGAAGGCAGCTGATAAATGATTCTCTTTCATCATTGATGTTTCTAGTTCTCTCTTCCTCTCCCTTCCTCTCTGAAATCAACAAAAATGCATTTTTTTAAAATAGTTCCCCAAAAAGAAAGGAAGGCTCTTCTTTATAGTAGAGTGCTTACTGATAAATGTGGATGGATTGGTGAAGCTGGAAAATCACCATATCACAATAAAGATTGGTTTAGGCAAGAATTATCAGTGGATGCTAAAAATAAGGGCAAAGTTTATCGAGGAACAGGATGCTTACATAGTTGAAGCGTCTTCTCACATACTGCTTCTAAGTTACAAGGAAGAAAATAATTATAAAATGGAAAGCTATTGAGAGGCTGATGGGTCTCTGGATGTGATACCTTGAAAGACATTCAAAAACACAAATATGAAATAAATGTTTGTATGTAAGTGGGAGACATAAGCTGAATTTAATCATGAGGAAACATCAGACAAAACCAAAATGAAAAACATTCCATTTTTTAAAGTGGCCTGCATTTTTAAAAATTTCAGTGTCACAAAAGATGGGGGAGAGAAGGGCAGGCAAGACTGAAGAACTAGCCGGGCCAGTATTGCTCAGTTGCTGAGGGTCCACCAATGAACCAGGTGGTCACCATTCAATTCCTAGTAGGGCACATGCCCAGGTGGCTCAATCCCTGGTAGAGGGCATCAGGAGGCAGCTAGCTGATCAATGATTCTCATTATTGATGTTTCTATCTCTTCCTCCCTCTCCCTCCCTCCCTGAAATTAATAAGCATATCTTTTTTTAAAAAACTGATGAACTATTTCAGATTAAAGGAAACTACAGATATGACAACTTAAAGCAAAAGTTGGTCTATGACTGGATCCTGAACTAGAGGTGAAAAGAAAAATAATAAAAAGGACATAATTGGAACATTTGCCATGATTGGGATATGAATAGTAGATTAGAAAAAGTATTGTATTGATGTTAAATTTCCTAAATTTGGTAATTATACTATGATTATGTTAGAGAATACCTTTGTTCTTAGGAAATACACAGTGAAGTATTAAGGAGTAAAGGAGCATGATGCCTGTAACTTATTCTCAAATGGTTCAAGAAAATAATTGTGTGTGTGTGGAGAGGAAGAATACAATAACAAATGTACTACATCATTAAGAGTTGGTGAATTTGCATAAAGGCTACAAAGAAGTTCTCTATTCAAGTCTTGCAAATTTTCTGTAAATTTGAAATTACTTTAAAAATTTTAAATTCTATTCAATGTTTTCTAGCCCTTTCAAAGGCACAAAATGACATAATGGCAATGAAGATGCAAGCAGAGAGTCTTTCAAAAGAATATGACCGACTCCTAAAAGAACACTCAGAACTTCAGGTGGGTGACATCCTTGTTACAGGCTTATATATATATTTTTAATATATTTTATTGATTTTTTACAGAGAGGAAGGGAGAGAGATAGATAGTCAGAAACATCGATGAGAGAGAAACATCGATCAGCTGCCTCCTGCACGTCCCCCACTGGGGATGTGCCCGCAACCCAGGTACATGCCCCTGACCGGAATCGAACCCGGGACCCTTCAGTCCGCAGGCCGACGCTCTATCCACTGAGCCAAACCGGTTTCGGCAAGGCTTATATTTTTTGAAAGTGTAATTAATTAAGTCAACTATTTGTGTTATTTGCCCTTCCCAAATCAAGAGGTTGTACTTAATCCCGGTTTTATTGAGTAATTAAGGAACCCAGAATTTACCTAGAGCAGTGGTTGGCAAACTGCGGCTCGCGAGCCACATGCGGCTCTTTGGCCCCTTGAGTGTGGCTCTTCCAAAAAATACCGACTTCTGCGCATGGGCCATTAAGTTTCAATCACACTGTACATGCGCGCCCGCACATGGTCTTTTGTGGAAGAGCCACACTCAAGGTGCCAAAGAGCCTCATGTGGCTCACGAGCTGCAGTTTGCCGACCACTGACCCAGAGGGTGAAGATTAGGACATTGCATGAAAATACAAGATAATCATATTCACCTTCCAAATCCTACTTAAGAATCAAAAGATTGCTGTGGACCATCTACAGTAAAAAGCTGTTTCTAATTGTCCTTTATGAATTTCACTTCTGTTGTCAAACCTTAAAAATTGCATTGTATCCTCAAGTTCTTTGGGAAACTTAACTTTCTCAATTTTATATAGGTCATTTACTTTAAATAAAATAATCAGAAAATAAGGGACTATAAAATATTAAGGAAACAAAGGTGGGAGAGGGGAAAGCTGATTTCCTTACCATAAGCAAATCCTACTTTGCAGCTTTTAAACCCATTTGGATTTCCCCTTCTGGTCCCCTTCCTGTTAAAGTTACTAAATAAATATTAGAAAACAGTCCCTTCAAAATATGTAGTCCTTGCCTTTCCTTGTTTGCACTTGTGCTCTTCTAGAAAAGAAAAAAACAGAACTAACCAAGGGTCATTGGCAGTATAAAAGCATGAGCACCTGCAAATTTATAACTTTCGCTTTAGAAAATCACCCTTTACTTAAGGGACTTATCCAGAATAACTGCTCCATTCAAGCTGTGATTTTTATCTAAAGTAGTAAGATATATATAACCTGTTTTCTCTAATCCTGTCTTCTGATTGGTTGCTTAAAGTTAATGTTATTAAAGTTATTCTGAAAGCATCAACGCTCAGCCTAAATAAGCTTTTTTTAAAAAAATATATTTTATTGATATTTTTACAGAGAGGAAGTGAGAGGGATGGAGAGCCAGAAACATCAATGAGAGAGAAACATGGACCAGCTGCCTCCTGCACATCTGCTGGGGTTGTGCCTGCAACCCAGGTACATGCCCTTGACCGGAATGGAACCTGGGACCTTTCAGTCCGCAGGCCGATGCTCTATCCACTGAGCCAAACCGGTCCTGGCCTGAATAAGCTTTAGATGAACTTCCCATGTATAAGCAATAACACTACAACTCCATTTTATGAAATTTTTTCCCTCAGGGTAGACTTTTACCTTCTTGGAGCAAGATTTCTTAAGATTATTTCTACCCCATTTTCTTCCAATTTTAAATAATACATTATAGTCATCTTTTAACATGATCAGTAAAGGGTATAATTTGAGAAGCTAGTTCTATTGGCAAGTATCTGAAGAACAACAAAAAAGGCCACCCCATCTGGTTTTTGTGGTTCCCTTCATTCTTTCTCTGCCAAAAAGTCTTAATTGGGTTTGCAAGAGGGGAATAGAAATTTTGTTTTCTGGATATAACTGTGAAGCTAAGGAAAAATAGATTAAGACGGGGGAGAAAAAGAACTTAACAAGAGTTTTATTTTCCCCTCTAGACATCTTTTCTAGTAAAACCCACCAATTTTGTAGTTTTTAAAATTTGAGACCTTCTTAATCCATATTTCACAGTTGATTACTCTTACAATTAATAACTATACACAGAAAAGAGAATTTTTTTAAGTCCATGTCTTATCTATGAATCTGTTTCTCACTCTTTGCTGTACTACTTAAGTCCATTTTTTCTTGCAGGATCGTTTACCAAAAGACAACAAGAAAAGCCTGTGAACTGTCAGAAAGAAGAGCGTGGCATACCATGTCAGGATGATAAATTTGCTATCATGTTAGTCTCTCAGAAATTTAAAATTCAGTTCAGAAAAATGTACTATGACTGGCCAATATTTTTTTAAATGCCATACATAAGCTGTTATTATAATGACATTATCACAATATTTGATGATGTTTCACATATATTGTAAAGTCTATATTCTGTCTCTTAAGTAAAATATAAGCATGTTAAAAACATTTAGATACTCATAGTAACAGTGGTGTATGGTGGCTATTTACCAATAGGAACAAAAATTCATTAGCCAGTTACTTCCAAAATTAGATTTTTAAGTTGCATGAAACCATTAATAGCCTTTAAAAGCTTTGATGAGTTTCTACTAATAATAATCTATTTAATCAGATGATGACAATGATTATGTATTTGAATATAGTATCCATCATCAGCAAATTTGTTCATGGGAAGATTAAATAAGGATAAATGATCAGAATTTGCCACTATATTAATAGGGAAGAGTCAGAGCAAAAAATAAAAATAGTGACCTTAAAGCCTGATGACACATACTATGGTTTAGTCTCATAAGACAACTGTTTTAATAATTATATTTTTGTTACTGTGCTTCTACATCTATTGGACTGTTTTTGTTGACATTTGTGTCAATGACACGTAATTAGTAAGTGGTCAATCTTTTTAAAGTCCATCTGGCAGTGGAGTTTACATCTATTTGTACAACTGTCACAGCACTGAACTAAAATTATTTTGCAACAATTTGGAATTCTTGACTCAGAGAGTAAGTATTTCCCATTACTGTGAGATTATATAGTTATAATACATATATTACCTCTAGTATACATACACTGGTATCACAGTTCCTCTGAGATGTTTATGTATTCTGAAAACTAAATATTAAATACTATTTTTCCATTCAAATATTCATTTAGTGTTTTCTTTAGAAAATGATAATGATTATTGCATTAATATGATTTAGGTTGTTCCCAGTGTTTAGACGTGGAAATTATCTTCCTTGTCTCATAAAAACCTAAATATAAAAGAAAATGGAAAATAATTACTAGAGTTTTTATTTTCTTCATATTTGTTTTATCCTTTGTTGTTTATTATCCTTTTAGCATCAACTTCACACATATTTAATTTTTTTCATTGCAAAATGGGTGAAATGAGCAAGTATGTAAGACTTTTTTTCAGATAAAAGTCAAGAGTTACTGCTAGAAAACAGACACGTAGGAGACATTTAACAGGAGTAAGAAATGAGAGTTAGACCATCTGGACTGACAGCACCATAAATAACAAGAGGGAGGGAGTGCTGAAACAAGACAGAACTCCAAGTATCAACTGAAAAATATCCAAGTTAGAGCTACATGGGTAATACCTAGTGAGTTGAGTGATTTTGGCCTGCTATACAGAAATCAAGTCTAGTACAGAATAACATAGAGAAAATTAGGAAGTACACACCTGTAGAATTGGCAGAATTTAAATCTAGTCCCAGCCTCACAATAATTTAGCCATGTGATTTGAACAAATTTTTTAACCCTCTAGACTTACATTTCCTCATCTTCAAAATGGGAGCAATAACGTTTAGGTCAGGATTACTCTGTATACTAAGGTAATACTGTGATTCTCAAAGTTGTTCAGCCTGTCTGGCAAAGTCTGGGTGCTCTTTGAAGAGCACAAGGATTTAAAGACTTCCCAAGATCACTTTACAGTTTACATTTAAGTCCTCCTCAATCTCAGCCTTCAGTTTTACAGATGGGCAGCCTGAGGCCTCAAACCTCTGAGCCGTTTTCTCATGGTAACATGATACTGGATGGATTCGGGGCCAGGATCTGAAATAGAATTCAGGTGTTCAGATATTACGCTAGTCTTTATAAACACAAACTATCATTTGCTGAACAAAGTATTGCCATGATTTATCCAAGGTTTGAACGAGGAACTTTTGCTTCAGACTCTGTATACTTTACCACGACACCAAATTGCCCCTCAAACAATACTTGTTAGTTATGCTCTCCTTGCCAATGATGGAGTTGAACAAAAAATAAACGTGTATTCCGGATTTGGTCACACTGCGTATTGTTTCTTTCTATTGTCTGTAATGACTTCTTTATGTTTTAAAAGGGCTAGGCTGTATTACGGATTTAAACACAGGAGTGTCATTCTTATCTTTTTCTGTCAGAGTTACATAGTTTTGTCACACTCTCTTCCCCACTTACAAATCTACCTTGAGGTCCTGGACTCTAGGAAGGAGCATTTAAGAAGTTGAAGCCAAGTACTCATTGCTTATCAGGCTATATCTTGGGCCCCAGTGCTGGTAAATAGAGTACCCTGAACCCCCAATCTGGAGCCTGGAGCTTAACTATTTCCTATTATACTATCCCAATGTCACCAGCCTGCCATGATCTCTAATTAAATCCCATGCT